GCCTCTTAGACCTGGCAAGATGTTGACAGAGCAGAGGACAAGGTAAAGTTTAGAAAAAAATTTTTTTCTTAGGTCCTGGTATTTGTGGGAAGACTGTAAGGCGAGGGAGGGGTTCCTGAGGTGTCCTAAGATGAGGGAAGGGAAAGATTGAATAACTGGAGTGAATCTGACCTGTTTGTTTGGATCCAATCCAGCTCCCTGGAACTTACAAGAATCCTTAGAGTTTGTGGAAACATAAGTATTAGACACATTAGCAGCTTGTTCATGTTAGAAGCAACTTGGCTAAAAGCATTATCATTTTAAAATAGACAGATTTTGGGGGGACCATGAAAAGCATCTTAATCTTGACCTTGTAGTTATGTTCCTATAGTGGTATTGTTGAACTTTACTATGAACAGTAGCATGAGAAATAGAGAAATCAGGAACATATTTCATTCTTTTACACTTTTCTATCTTCACATAGATAAACCCTAAAATACCTGTTCCTGGAATCTGTTTTGCTTTAAGCTGGCAAGACTGCCAGTCGTCAAAAGCATCAGAGTTCTTGAGAAGGATAAGATTTTACCTGAATCAATGATTAAAGTATAACAGAGACTTGCCAGATGCTGCATAGACAGCAACCCCCAAGGTCCTCCACCCATAGTAGTGGGCTGTAGGACGTCTGCCTTCTTGCTGATAGCATGTGACCTGTGGATTACAGACTTTGGGAAGACTCGCCTATCATTGGCCCAAGCAACGCGGGAAAGTCAATTCCCTTGTCCTCTTGTCCACGATCTGGAATACTTTGTAGTAGTTGAGGTGAAGGGCAGGGTTGCTCAGTGACCAGCGTTGTCACTGACTCGAGATGAAGCTTCTTCAGTGCCCATCAGTCTTCTCGGAGGAAATGGGGTGGGGCTAGCAGCTGGCCTATCTCTCTGTTATAAAAAGCTTTTTAACAAAACATTTTAAATGCCATATTTCTAGATCTCTGAGCATTTGAGGGCTGTCGTCTGTTTAGTATCTCAGCAGTTAAAAGTTTGCCTCTAGTTAGAGAAAAATCCCTTTTTGTAATAAAAGCTGTACCTTTGTAAACAGCTTATAGGATAGACTGAGTGGTATAAATATTTTTTTTCACCCTGCCCCCTCCACTCCTCCATTCCTTTGTTCCTCTATTTCTCATGGAAGCCATGGAGTGTTCCTGGGCCTCTACGACCAGGTTCAAACCTGCAGCATACTAGGTATGTCAATCCTGGGCTGACCCTGGGGTCCCCTAGGAGCAACCTTAAGAAACTAAAGTGAGGCTAACTAGAGGGTATAGGGTCAGAGGTCGAGGTCCATCCCACCAGTACAAAGAAAGCATTCTTCTGCCTTCCTTCAGTTGTGAGATATTTACTCGTGGAATGCCTCCTCCATAAATGAAGATCCCCATGGATGGCCTGCACCCCTGCCATCTCCCATGCCGTATCTCCAATGAAGTGGAGGCCACACCACCCCACCCAGCCTCTCTCCCACTACTGGCATGTTCTGTGCTCTATGAGATGGAAGTTCACCGTGGTTGATGCGGGTTAGGGTCAGGCCCTGAGCAGGGCTGGGATCCTCGCCGGAAGCTTGGAGTGGGGGGAACGAACGCCTGCAGTTCCTCCTCAGTGGTCAGGCTCCCTCTGAGCACAACTCTGGAGACATCTCAGCTCTGTTTATGTGGCCGCCGCCGCCGCCGAGGTAATGTGAGCCACCCTGCCTATCTCAAGGTTTTTACTTTAGCCGTGTCTGCTAAGTCCCTTTGACCACCTGGTCACCAGTTCTTGGCATCAGGGGGCACATACCTCTGGAGGCCTCTATCCTGTTCGCATAGAACTTGACTTTTAGTGATGGTCCCTGGGTTGTGTGGATGTTTTCACTTGTCTGTGGCCCCTTGCTCTCCCTCCAGCTACCTGAAAAAACTGGCAGGAAAGACAATACTCCCCCCAACACACATGGACTTGCTGCATGTCACAGCCCTGTCACACACAACCCTCCCCACATAAGAGGCACTCCTGCAGACAGAAACCCCAACAGAGAAGCCTGCCCTCAATGGCCTACTTCAGAATGTGGCCAAGATGCCCCAGCATCTGGTAAGCTCATCAAAACTTGTTCTGACAGCCTGCTTTGTGTGTACAAGAAGCTACATGTGGAATTCCATTCCAGAACCTTCAGGCAGCCCAACCGCTTCCGTCTGCTGGAATACATTTGTCTAATGGAATGTCACTAGCAGTTTTTGCTGCCTGTATCATCTTTAGAAGCCAACTTGTTGCAGGGAAAGGAGCCTCTGTGGACTCCCAAGAATGTCTTGGTGCTAAGCTGAGGTTTGCTGCATATAAACTGTGGATAAAATGGTACTGATTTACTAATAGCTTTCTTTACACATTGCCAGAGACATGCATAGCCAGCATGAGGTGTGTGATGATTGTTAGTTTATTGCATAGCACCTGCTAACGCCAGAAGCTGGGGACTGACTTTGTTCCAAGGACTGTTTTTCTTCTCTCAGTTTCCCTGCTCCAGCTGTGCCCTCTGGTTGATATACATCCTGATTCCTCCAAACCAGCTATGGCACACCTCCACTCCTTGTGAATGACAGGGATGGGCGTGGGCTTGAAGAACAGTTCCATTCAGTGGCAAGTGGGGACATCTGCTGGGGAGATGGTGACACTGAGTTGTTATCTCACACTCATAGTACCGCTATAGTTGTCAGGTCACCAGCAAAACACCCAGCACCGCCTTTACCAGAGTAGAATGAAGGGAGAATTCAGTTCCTGATGACCATATCAAATGCAGTAAACTCAACCCAAAAGCCTGACCACATAGCTTAGGTCCTTTAAAAGAATTATTAGAGGGCTGGAGAGATGGCTCAGCAGTTAGGAGCACTGACTGTTCTTCCAGAGGTCCTGTGTGTGATGTATGTATGGTGCCATGTGTTTCTGTGTTAGTGTGATATATGCATGTCTATGTAGGTACTCTCTCCCATGCATATGCACATGGAGGACAGAAGACATCTATGTCCGTGTCTGAGATAAGAGCTCTCACTGGAGCTGGAGCTCATTTTGAAAAGACTGTTGGGCTAGAGAGACTCCAGGACCCACCTATTGGGGTTACAGATGTGTGCCACCACACTCAGCTTTTACGTAGGCCCGGGAACCTGAACCTGGGTCCTCAGGCTTGTACAGTAAGCATTTTACCTACTGAGCCATTTCTGCCTGGCCCATTATTATTTTTTTTAAAAATAAGGTCTCGCTCCAGCTCAGAATGGCTTGGAACTCACTGTATAGCCAATTTGGGTCTTAAACGCAGAACAATCCTCCTGTCTCGGCCTTCTGGGATGGTGAGTGTAAGTCACATCTGGCTTTGAGACCCTTTTTTAGAAGATTGAAAAATACATTTCCTAGCCAAGCAGTAGTGGTGCACACCTTTAATCCCAGCACTCGGGAGGCAGAGGCAGGTGGATCTCTGTGAGTTCGAGGCCAGCCTGGTCTACAGAGTGAGTTCCAGGACAGCCTCCAAAACCACAGAGAAACCCTATCTTGGAACCCCCCCCAAAAAATAGCCATTTCCTGCTTAAGTCCTTTTCAGTTACCAGGAAGCATTCTCATGGACAGACTTTCCTAGAACAGAATTACTCAAGGTGTGATTGTTTTATTTTTAATGATGGAAGACAGGCAAATGCTTCTATGTGAGCTTCACCTCTCAAATATCTCTAAGGCTGTGGCTTCGTGGTCTTAAACTCATTCACAAAGTTCTTGACTGACACCATTACACCACCTGGGGAGCTGTGTGAGAGGTCATTTGTTGTAGTCTTGGCATCGTGGTGAGTATATGGACTTCCGCATGTACCAGACTTTTTCTTTTGGGCCACCAGCAGCTCCCAAATCATGACACAGAAACTTATTAGTTTTGAATGTTCAGTCTATTTTAGGTTCTGGCTACCTTTTTTTTTTTAACTTAAATTAACCTGTTT